CATTCCACCCTATCACAACTAAATTTTTATGTTCTATCTGGGAATGTTTACGTTGCTCTTGTTTCGGTGCTCTGACCATCGTAGAGTATAATCAACGGCGCCCTGTCTGCTACATCGAGCATGATGGATTGGGATGGAGATGCTACTGTCCAGGTTTTCCCCGTCTTGCATTCTTTTCCAACTTCACTTTTATCCTTCCTGTTTTCAACCCCCTCCAATTCTTGACCCTACCCCATCTTACTTCCATAGGCATTTGTTTTCTTGATTCAACTCACACGCAATCGCAGGGCATCGCTTCGGTCCGGTCAAGCCAACAAGTCCATACCTAACCAAGCTGGCAACTTCAGTACTTCTGTTTCTATTTAGAACCCTTGATGCTCATTAAGGTTGACATGCTTCAAAGTGCTCACTTTGTTACAAATTAGCCAACAGGCGGCGCTTGCCGGAATACCAGAGAACTCATCGATCACTCTCTTCTGTTTATCTGGAACTCACCTGTAAGGTTCCCCACGTGCAACACTGGCGGTATTTTATCACTTCGTTTGTCCGGAGCTGACGCAACTTCAAACAGTGGTGAAGTCGGTGTGCGACTTACTTTGAGTCCTTGGGCTGTAACTGCCCTGATCGATTGAACCCTAATCAACAGCCGGAATTGTGCCGTCGGATTGGCTGGCTCTTTCGAAGCTTCGAAGTCGCGCGGGGACAAACGATGCCTAATTACCAGTGCAGCCTACGCCCTCACAAATGCTAGCACGGACTCGGTGAGTGATGACGTCTATCATCAGCTGAACGCGCTCCATCGTTACAGTAAAGATACGGATACTGTGGTGTTTGCTGGTGATCTGAACGCCCAAGTTCCTAATTTGTCCACTGATGGGCTTCATTTGGGCGGTCAGCACAGTGTAGGCTCCCGTAATGATTACATCGTGTGGTACTACATTATTGTGAAGTTGCTCGTCTGTTTCTCGCGGGCATAAGCTTCCTACACAGCACCCTCCGAAGAAAGACATGGTGCCCACCAGGCTCGGATCAGCCATGGATGCAAATCGACCACATTGCGATCAGTTATTTTTGCATTGTGTCCAAAGCTTTCGCTTGATTTGGAGCATAGGCTTGGACTTTGACCACGCACTTGTATGTGCCTACCTGCTCTTGCGTTTAGGCGAACGTCCGCGACTGCGTTGTAGGCGCAACAATGCTTGCTAACTGGCGACGCCACATTTTCTGAATGCGTAACAAAGTACGTTGACATTCGAGCTGAGTAATCACCCACTGCACACAGTTGAAGTTCACTGATCGCATATTCGCCAGATGTTACTATCTGCGGGCATGTGTTCATGCGGCATATCTGATTGCCAATCCGCACATTGGGTCTCTACACCGCCTCCGGAACTTCTCGATCCTCGCTACGCGTTCCAGCTGGAAGTGAACATAATTAGACTCACATAGATTACAGGGTGAAATTGTATGCTAACCTGAAGTGAGACCGCGAATCTTGCTTGTCTTTTCGTGCGTCGAAGATGGAAATGGTCGCTGCCCTTGGTAACCATCGTAAGTTAATCCGTCTGATACGCGAAACGGGCAGCAGAAGACCTTGTGTTAGCGAGACGGGAGTGGACAGCCAATCCACAGCTTATAAAAACGCTTGTACTTGGGACAAACACTTTGAAGATCAGTTTAATCAACCCGAATTATCATCTTCCTCTTTTGGCTTTGAGTATCCTCCCTGTGCCTTCCCCTTGTATCTGACCTAACGCGCAGAAGTCGGACGTGAAGTCAGTTTAGAAATTAAATAAGGTTGCAGGGGCTGATAGACTTCCTCCAGCTCTCTTCAAATTCGGGGTACCTGCTCTTGTGGATGATCTGCACAACTTGTAAAGCTGTCAGAGCAGGACACTGCCCCAACTGTTTGGAGCCGCTCTGTCATAGTCCCGATTTTCAAAGAGGGTTCACGTTCCGTATGCAGTAATCATAGAGGGATCAGTTTGATCTCAGTTGTCTTTAAGTCACTTGCCTCTTCTGTTCCCCATAGGCTGACTATTACGCGTGAAAGCCAGTTACGCTAGCAGCAGGCATGGTCTCGTCGAAATCGAAGCTCTGTTACCCACATCTTCATATCACGTCATTTGTTGGAAGGCCGCCATATTCATTGGGGACCCACCGTAGTCGCGTTCCTCGACATCAAAGGTGCCTTCGCTTTGGTTGATCAATGTGCCCTTTGGGACTTTCTGCTCAGGATAAATAAGTAAATATTATAAGAGCGCTGTACGCACATGGTTATGGCCTAGTAAGTGCTTATGACATATCTTCGACATCCTGTAATATCTCCAGCGGTGTAAGGCAAGTTTGCTCTCTGTCACCTTTCCTTTTTAACTTCTCCATTGACGAAGTCCTAAGAACTGTAGCTCTTGTCCCGGATTTGAAAGATGTGGAGCTGCTTCCAGATGGTTGATTTTCTGACTTGGAGTACGCCGACGATATTGTCCTAATCTGTGACAGCTCCCAAACGTGCTAAGCAGCAATGGATAAATTAGCTCTAGCTGTCAATCGTTTTGGGCTATGCTTTTCACTTTTGAAATGCAAAGTCCTTCTCCAACGTTGCCGGGGAACTACCTCAGCACTGACACTTGGTGGTACTCAACTGTAACTCGTCCAGAAATCCCAGTATTTAGACAGCTCTATTAGCCTCCTTGTGACTGGAGCAAAAGCTCGAAGCGCTTTTGCCAGCATCTAACACCTGTGGCGGCGGCGCGACACACTCTGTCCATGAAGGCCAGTGTTTGCAACGCAGCCGTGCGTTCAAACCTTCTGTACGGTTGCGATTTTTGGCCCATCAGATAGAGAGACGTAAAGAGACTAGTTACATTCGACCATCACTGACTTTACAGTTTAACTCATCTTTTGAGAACACTGCGTGACTAATTAGCGTGTTCGGCGTCTTGTTTCCGACGCAAGTTAACCGCATTGAAACGTCTTCACCTGCCGGGCTCAAGGTCTGGGATGGGTTACGTATGCCAGTACAACAACTTTTGCGGAGTGTTGTTTGCACGATCGGGGTCCGGATGAGAAGGTGCGGCCAGTCGATGACTTGGTCAAAAGGAATGAAGGGTGCCACTTCGAACTTGGTCCACCGGTGGTCGAAGGGATAACGCGCTTGTCTTGTAGTTCGGAGGTTGCCGGTTCGGATTCCCTTACGTTCGGACCAACTTGCGGCACACCCAGCCCACACGCGACTGGTAGTGGTCGCGTGACAGTGTAACGTCGGTACGGTCTGTAAGCATACTGCTGTTGTCTTTTTTTCGAACCGTGCCTTCCGACTCGGATTGAGGTCGCGAGTATTATGAACTCTTTGATGAAAGACATTTTTGACGCGTCCAGAAGGGGGCCTCAGTGGCGTTTGTGTTATATGTTTCTTTATCCTTCATCTTCCTGCTTAGTTTGCTCTTCCAACTAACCTCTCAATATCGATCTATATTTTAAAGTAAAGCATGGCATTATTGACCTTGTCTTATTTTTTGCTTCCGTCTCTTTTTTTGCGACTATATAAGGTATTTCGAATAAATAGCTGGAGTGTTTCTCACTTCCAGTTATCATCTCTGACCATGGTTGCATGTCTTCCTTATTTGTTAAAGTCCCCTCTGCCAGCTCCGTACTTAGATGAAGACCACCAACTGTGGTTCGCAGCCGGCCTGTTTCACTTCAGTATATGTACCCTGGTCGTATCACCTGTTTACATTGTGTTCAGTGCTATTATCTCTATACATTACGGTTCATTACAACACGGACCAGTGAGGTTAATGTGAGTCTGTCTCACCTTTTCCACCCTCTCGTTGGACGACTACATGCTGTTGGCAATGTACATACACATAGGCCTAAATACTTGCTTATTGGAGTATTCATATGCGCCATTAGTATGGTTGCTGTGATTGTGGCAGCGATGAACATTAGGAGAATACTCTTCAGTAACGCTATTTTTTGTTTTGTTTCACCCCACTTTGTCACGTCTTTGTACCAAAGCTGCCTCTTGTATGGTGTTGCTCAGCGATACCAGATGTGCTTCGCATCCACGGACATAGATTCTATCTATCTTTGACGACGCTGAAAAACTTCGTGCTAGTGACTGTTCACGGTAGTTTACTTAGTACCATTGTCGCATGATTCGGCTTTGCGCCACCCAGCCCAATACATAGTTCAATTAGATTCAGCTAACTGATACAAATGTGATTCAGCCACCTACTGCGATAGATCCAGTTGTCACAATTCTCGTCATCGTGATAACGAGCGCGAGGAGGGCGTCATAGAACACAAACAGCATACAAACACAAGGGGTTAAAAATTAATAGGACTGAAGTGTTAATAACTAGCTGCAGGAAACCGAATGCACTGATTTTGCGACTTCTCCAAATCAGGTTTCCAACCATTGATTTGACTCATTCCTATGTCAGCATCCACAAAGACACTTAGCGGCCTGACCAATTTATTATTTTTTATGCCACGCCATCGGCTGCCCCCTCCATTTCGCTCAGGCGGATACGGTGATAACGTATAATGTACGCCGAAGGAGGCGATCACTGGACACACGGAGGACGTGGGCCGGCCAACATAAACAGGTCGGGTTTGGTAGATTCTTCCGTGGGACATAGAAGGGTGTTTTCCAACCACTTCCTGGCGACATTTAGTCAGCTATTCGGTGCTTCAGCCGGATGGAAGCGATCCTACGCATGCACCAGCGGTCAAGAATACTTAGCCTCTTACTATCTTTCGTTTGAATTGGCAATTTCCTTATTTTTTATAGTAAATCATGTCTAATCGCAACATTTTGGACCGTACTTCTGACTGGTGATCTAATGCTCGCCGCCTCCGACTTTCGGCCGCATTGAGTTGTATTCCCCGTTATCTAAGAACCGGTTAAAGTACTCTAACACTATCAAAACAAATCTCCTCCATGCTTTCATTGCAACTACTCAGTGGCTAGAGGTTTTCACTCCATATTTTTTCAGTAACTGGGGTGATGTGAAACACTTCCTTCGTGTCGCTCGCATGGCTATCAATTCCATCGGACAGCACGGGGTATCTGCCTTCTCTGCCTTGGTGCAGCTGGGTTGCCAATGTGGGTTGGAGGTCTCACACATCCTGGACTTGAAATCGCGGATCCGCCAACGGCTTCATGAGTTGGAACAACAGGCGGCTAGCAAAAACGACCCAAACCTTGAGACACAGGATAAGCGCAGTGCGGTTAGTTTCACCTGGACGATTCATACTAACCCATTCACTTCTTGGTGCTGCTCGTATTTATGCTAGGTTTCTTTTGCACGTTGGTACTGAATTTCAGGTGTCTTCTCAACGCTTTTTGTTGTTCATTCTCCAATCCATATTTTTGAGGATTGCAATTATCCTCACAATCTTTCTTCTTTGTCAGTTGCCCTAGGTAAGTTTCTTCGTCCATAACTTTGGAACGAGTAGAAGCAATGTTAGGAAGGAATACGCTAAGCGGACAACTGAGGCGCTCATCGCCGTTACTTAACCAAGGCATGGTAGGCGATCTAAAGATTGCGACCAAGTGTTTGTGGTCCGTGAACAGTGTGAATTTTCGTCCATATAGCATTTTGTGCAATCGCTTGACTGCAAACACTATAGCCAATGCTTCTTTCTCGATCTACCCGTACTTGCTTTCCACTGGGGTGTGATCTGGCTACATGTGCCACAGCTTTCTCCGAACCATTGGGGAAAATGTGAGATATGACCGATCCAATTCCCCAGTCTGATGCGTCACCAGCAACCACGATCTCCAGCTCCGGATGGGAATGCGTTAGCAATAGGCCAGAACACAATATACACTTGACCTCATCAAATGCAGCATTCAGGTGACCATACCTATTTGCAATCCTTTACGAGAAGTTTATTTAACGGTCCTCGTACCCGATGCACTTCGGGCACAAAGGAACCGTTATGACTGATCAACCCCAAGAATGATCTGAGTTTCGCGACATTTGTCAAGGAAGGCATCTGTTTGAGGGAACTTATGTTGGAAGGATCCAGACGACGACCATGCTTTTCGATGATGAAGCCAAGGTAGTTTCCACACTTCATGCTGTTATTACACTTTTCTGTTTTCAAATGGAACCCGTAGTCATTAACGCGGTGGAGAACTGCCTCCAGTCTTTCCGTCAGCTCTCGATATGTAGAGCCTTTGATTATAATGTCGTCCAGATAAGCTGCGACCTCTGATAACCCAGCTAACATCGTATTCATAATTTAGCTAATTCATCATTGTCACTCCCAATCAGCAGGCTTAGGCTAGTCTGGAAAAGCACCAGACGCTGGCGTTTCGACCTTCTGGGTCTCCTTAGTGTTGCGCCTCCCAGCGGACCTCAGCCGGGTTCCGCCCCCCCCCCTGACTTCAGGATGCCATCAGCTAGTGCCACTTCGCTATGGGTGACAGCCACGGACCCGCGTGATTGACAGTTCACTATGATATAGTCCGGCACATCTTCCACTGCCATGCCAGTTACGAACTTTGCAGAGGACAATGGCTAGCCTCACGAGCTAGGATTTTCCGCATGGCGCCTATGTACGACATAGGTATTAGAAGCTATACGGACATATTTTATTATACTGATGAGTAGTAGTGAGGATTTTGGTATAATTCAGTTAATTCATCATTGTCACTCCCAAAATCCTCACTACTACTCATCAGTATTCATAATTTGTTGAAAAGTTGCAGGAGCTGATTTGACGCCAAACGGTTGAACTGACCTCGGTGCGTATAGATTATCAGCAACTTCTTTGAAGCATCGTTGACTTCATTTCGAAGGTATCTGATAAATCTAGCTTTGCAAAGTAAACACTACCACTGAGCGTAGCAAATAAATCTTCTGGGACTGGCAAAGGATACTGGTGCATTTTCAAAGTAGCTTTCAATCCCGTAGAGTAGTCAGCATTAGTCTTCTTGATGACAACAATAGGTGTTGTCCATGCTGAATAGTTCGCAGGTTGGATGACGCCGGCCCACTCCAAACGATCAAGTTACGCATCACAATCGGAAGCGCGATATATGGTACCGGTCTTTTGGGTCGAAATACCAGCTTGGCACTGTCTTTGAGGGTAAGGCTTGCTTTGGTCTTTGTGCATCTCCCCAAGTCGTTGCGAAACACAAACGGGAATTTTCTTAGTAGCTTCTGGATCAGCTTATTGTTTGCTTCATCCACTTCCTAAGAGGATTTCCTACCTACGAGATGGTTATTGCAGATTTGACTCAGGGGAATGTCGAACAGGTGAAGTTTCTGGATCCAGTCAGGGCCCAGCAAATTCTACTGTGACAACTCCGTAATGTACACGATGCCGTTTGCCCGAACAGCGCCAAAATTCATTTCACACTTCAGCTCACCAGTGAGATTAAGTTGCCCTGAATCGTTAAATGCAACATGTGCCGTTCGGCTGATTGACGGTGCACCAATATACTATCAAGTTTTGTGGGAGGTAGTTGTGATGTTTGAGGCTGTATCCAGCTGAAGACGTGCTTGTCGCCCGTTCAGGTGAACTCTGATATACATTCTGCGAGTCACATGTTCCTCAAAGGAGGCCGCTTGAAACTTATTATAGCTGCTGAATCTTTTGAGTACATTCGGATTCGGTTGCTGATGTCCAGCACGCTTGAACAGCCGTCTGGATCAACAGTGCGTTTCCTTGTGGCCCCCTTTATGACACTTGTGGCAAACATGTCAGGAATGGGCATACTCGAACAATATGCCACTCACCACATCTCCAACAGGCAGTCGGGGGCTTGGGATTCTCTCTGAGCTTTTCATTCCTGTTTCACTTGTAAGCGGTTTCTTTGAGGTGCTTTTCAATGCACTAACACTTGGGGTTGACTGTTGCCTCTCCAGCATAGGCGTGTCATGCTTGAGGTTTAGTAATTATTGGCATTCATTAGTGATAGTCTGTAGTCATTTGCGGATCTTGTACAAGTTCATTCAGCAGTCTGGTGCGAATCTCTGCATCCTATGGGGAATGAAGGTCACAGATAAAAAATCAGGCATTTGGACTGATCTGCTTTGGTTGTTTTAAATTCAAATTTTTCGCACTCGCGATTGACGATGCCAGCGTAAGTGACGTAGCCATCAGCGTCCATCATGGTGATCTTCAAGCATTGATATCGCTTGTTGAAGATGGATGACTGCTCTACAAATATTTGACCCAAGCATTTGACAGTCTCAGCAAAAGTGCAGTCTCAAACTTTCTTGGGAAAAATAAAATTGTCATACTTGGAGTGTTCAGCTGCTCCAAGTTTCCGTAATAGCAGTCGGACTTTCCAGTCGTCATCATGGTCTCCAAGTTCAACGCGAAACACATCTTCCTAACGCTTGAAACATCAGCATCAGGGTCCTACGAAAATTCAGTAATGCGTCTACCGATCCGGACCGCTTGACGGTTGTAGACTGTAAACTAGCCTGGATTGACGTTTGGCGCCTTAGCGTTTCGATCAACTTGAGTTGGGATGCCTCAAATTGTGTTTGTTGCCGCAGCAGAATGGCCCTGAGCTCGTCAGCTCAGATAGACATTTTGATTAGAGTTCAACCCGTCTCCAGCTGAAGTGTTCATCCCTCTCCTGAATTGACGGTTGATTCCCTATCGGAACTCCAGGTCGCTGGGCCCCCACAGGAGAGAGAGAAGACCGGATAGGATGAGCAGAGAAGCAGGGATGTATTAGCCAACCACACCGTTCATTATGAAGGTAAAATCGAAAGTCCGTGAATAATATTTAAAGCTCACTTGGAAATCTACCGAAGGGTCAAGTACTATCACCCTCGTGTGAATTGGCCGCTTCACCCTGTTGACTATCTGTTCGCCTCAATCAGCGCAGGTGAGTATGGATCGCCTGTCATGCTTTGGCTATGTAACGGCGCTGGGCGCGTCGGTTGTTCTCTTGGCGTATTCTTCACTAACATGCAAAATCGAAGCTCAAACCTTTTGTGTTTTTTCACGTACAATCTCAACAGCTCGTGTGCTCTTTCCCACACCAGGAAACGTTTGCTAGGATATCTAACGGTTTTTTTAATCAATCTGTAATTCGCTTTGTGGTGGGATTTTCCGCACCAGTTTCATCACACCAACCAAATTCCAGTCATTCGATCCGGATTTACCAGCTCTATCCAGTGGCCTTCTAGCTTCCTTTTCCCATCCTTTTCTGGCATTCCGTTCGTTACTTGCAGCCACTTTTGCAACCGCTAGTTATGCTTTCATGTCTACCTCGTCAACTCCCATGTCAGCCAGCCGACCGCATCGGCTGACCAATTTTCCCGGTCAGTGGCGATTGATTTACCTTGCCTTCGTGTAAGCTACGTCGCCCTTTCGCGATTCGGCTAGTCAGCAGGATTACAACTCACATCGGCAGTCATCTGACCGTGTGGCGTTTCGACTAACGTGTCAAGTCAGAACAGCTCCAACGTGCGGATCACATCCCATGTATATACAGACGGCGACGATACGCGCCAATCTTTGTCACCTCAGCGTTTGTGAATTCCACTTGACCGCCTTCGTGTCCCAAATTTGAGAATAAACAAATGTGCCATTAAACCCATGGCTGTAATGGAATGGAAAAATGATTGTACAAAAGACAAAAGCAAACGGCTTTTTTCTCTTTTCTTTTTTAGTGTTGCGCACTCGTCGTTTTGATTATTTTTAGTCGTTAACACATTTGTGAAATAGGATTGGAACGATCATCTATGCTATTGAAGCATATGTTCAAAATGTCCGCCGGCGTTCTGCTTGCAGTGCAGAAACCGCTTGATGCGGTTGGCGAGCACTTTCTCCACGTTTGGCGTGCTTCGCTGCTACCAGCAAAAGTCAAAGAAAGCCTTCCATAAGCTTTAACTTTGCCTATGTGTGACCATAGAGTTCCTTCAGAATTGCGACAAATTTGCCGGATACACCGGTATATAGCACAAAGTTCCAAAGAGGTGCTCTATGTCGTCAAAGGCAGCGCGGATGTCCATAAACACCACTGTTGTTGCTCTTCGGTGGACGTGACGATGTTCACGAACTTGAGGCAGCATGAACCTTCTTTCGATGCAACCTCAACCGCTGCGTAACCCAGCTTGTTCCTCGCGAGACAAAATCTCGTGTGACTGAAAGCCTTCTGAGCGATATGGACACGACAACTTTAGACGCGTCCGATGTGTGTGATATACCTCGTTAGTTGGTGCAGTCGCTGCGCGTGCCTTTCTTGTTAATCTGGACGACGATAGATTCGCCCCAAGGGTTGGGAATGTTCTCATAGACCCACGCTTTCCTCAAAAGCG